AAAAAACATAAGCTTTTTATATGAGTCCTGCAATACCTTTTTTAATCCTCTGCAAATGAGATTACTCCGAAATTATGGATGGTTCTTTCATTTCAATGACTATGCCTGTTTTTCAATTCACATTTCTCTAAGCTTATTCAGTTGTTGACTGCATTTCTGTTCTTTTTCCAATGGCCAGAAATATGGTCATTGATGGTCTTTTCATTGTGTGCTATGATTCAGTAAGAAATCTTGTCAGCAAGGAATAATCAGTGGCACTTTGTTCATGTTTTTCATGGCTCTTTTTGATTAAAAAATACTGTTCTTTCATTTATTTTCCCAAATTGCACTTTGGGATTCACTTAAACTTTCTATGCATGCGTTTCTAAAAAAAAATCAGAACCAAATAAAAAAGCAAGAGAGCTTGTAAGAAAGTGGCAAGAAAGTTCAGGCACAGGAGTGTTTTCCACATTTACTTCAGTTTATTCTGCATTAAGGAATGAATGCTTTTTGAATGCGTCAAACTTGGAAGCAAGAAATCATAGTCTCAGTTCATCCTTGGATGTTTGTCAGAAAACCCTGTCGCATATGCCTTACAGTTGACTTCCTGGGTGAAAATTTTTATACTTTAATTCTCACCAAGAATAGAAGGCTCAGAGTACCATATTTACTCTAGTACCATGCACCCTCAAGTAAGGCGTGCAGAGGGGTTTTTTAGTTAGAAATTTTGCTAAAATCTTATCCCCAACTCCCCGAGTAAGATACACACCCTAATTTTTAGTGAATCTGAAACCAAAAAATTTTTGCAAATAAAAACAAAAATTGACTTTAGGCATGAATTGAACAAAAATCTCATCAATTTTCAACTTTTTTCAATACAAAAACGTTGTCTTGTTACATTTGCTCCAAATTTCTCCATCATAATCAAGTATAATGCACACATAACTTCCTAAAACTTCTTGAAAATGTTGTACCCGCTTATGACACGCACACCTTTTTTCTTCTGAAATTTGGGGAAAAAGTGCATGTGGTCCTCGAGTAAATACAGTATTTATAATTACAGTATTACCCAATCTTTGTGAATCTACCGCTTGTGATTAGGGTAACTCGTTTTTGGTTAGAGACATGTCAAAAAACAAAATTCAGGAAACTGAGTTGTAACATATTTTCTTTTGAATAAAAGTATCAAATATCTGAAATTCTAAACTTGGCTGTTTTCAGCAATCAAAAATTATCTCTGAATTTATTTAGGTCTTATACAGTGCACCAGAGAGTCTTGCTTTTCAATAAGATGTATGTGCAGCATTGTACTAACTTTCAAACAAGAAAATCAAAATAAAGAGATGTGTGCTCATCAGCAAACTAGGTAATCCTTAGAGTGAAGCAAAATTCATGCAATTAAATGCTAATTGTGGTCCAGGTCTCTGGACCACAATCCCAAGGCTGGTTGGGATTCCATGAAAACAAAGCCAATGAAACCAATCTGCACAGCAGGATTGGTGATGCTGTGTTCTGGTACAATTATACCAGATTACCTACACCAAGAACAATGTCAAAGGAGAGTGCTGTTGTAGTCAGGATGCATTGATCCGCAAGAACAGGCTTAAAGGCTTCCAGCCATAGAAGTGTGTTTGGATTTGTTCCTGTCCATGGTTTTTTGTGCGGCACTACAATTGCCATTGTTGTGTAGGATGGCAAGTTTGCTACCTCCCCCTGAAGGTGAGCTGAACTGCCTCTGATGTACTAATGGGTGCTTCCCATTCAATGCCCCAATTGAATACGGTGCACAAGATATAATTGGCAAGTTGAGGCGCTGTACCAGCAACCTTGTGATGAGGGTCAATAGAGACCCTGAGTCCAACAGGGCATACCCTATAGACCCTGAGGGCTCCAAGCAGATGGTGGCCATTTCCATAAACAGACAAGTTGGTACTGGCATTGGAGCAGACATGACCAGGACCAACCAGTGCTTGGCCACTGGATCCTGTCATTCAGACACAGCTGGCACTACTGCAGGTGCTGCTGCGGGTGCTGCAGCTGCTGGTGCTGCTGTTGGTGCACCTTGATTAACAGCTGGTGTGGCAACAGCCACTATAGTGCCACTTGTTGTTGGCAAGGTTGTTGTGCCAGAGCCCAATTATACATTGCCAAGTGATGAAATTCTTGGCAATGTTGGCATTGGCCTTTCAACCGGCATTCTTGTACAAAGTGATTGTTTATGAGGCAATTGTGGCAGAGCTGTTGTTGTTGCACAGCCTGCTGCCTTTGTTGGATTGTGAGGGGGCATGCCATAGGCCCATGCTGTCCCTCACAGAAACAGCATCTCTCTCTTCCAGAGTTGTCTTGTCTTGGCTCCCAGTCTTGCAGGTCTGAGTGTCTGTTGCTTCTGTAATTCTGGGATTGGCACTGGTCTGATTTTGATTGCTGCAGAGAATGGCTCTGCTGTCTATATGGTGACCTACCCCTTTTTCATTTTTGTGGAGGACTTCTGGAGCATGAGTATCCTTTGTGATCCTTTTTGCATTTTGATGGCTGATTGCCATTACCCTGGTTCTCATTTTCCTTTGGTTGCTGATTGGTTGTTCCTGTGGTTGTATAGCCATGACTGCGCTAGGCTTGGCTGCAGTCTCCTGCTTGTCAGTAGCCGTGGCCTGTGTAGAACCCTCTAGGGTTTCTGTAGTGCCTTTAAAGGCCAATGTTGCCAATGGTTCCTCCAAACCCTGTTTGTATTGGAAATATGATCAAATGTAACAATACTGCATGTGTGGCTGCTTTTGCCACTTTTAAACTGAACAGCCAAGTGTGGATGCTTGTCCACGTTAACCTGAAGCATTTTCAGGTAGCCTCCCTGTTGGAGGTGTACCTGCAAGACAGGTCTAACCCTCAGATGCACTTGGTGCATTTTGTTTTTAATTGTGCTAAGTTTTTCAGCAATCTTCATGATGTGGTTGAAATAGCCGTGGAACTCTGCCAGCATTGTGGGAGCAGGCAGGTGATTGAACTCTCAATATAGCCTGATCCACATTTCTTCTGTTCTGCCATATTCATTGAAGAGTACCTCCAGTACTCCAAGGTATTATGACTCTTTGTCTTGTTGCACAAACACATCCATGTTGCCCCATGCATCACCATCTGGGTAGAGGAGCAGGATGTGGGCATGCTCTGCATCTGTTAGTTTTCCTTCTGGGATTAGGTGAACCAGTGTGAAACTGGTCCACATCCTTTTGAAGGTATAATCTGCCAATGGTTTTCCAGTGAACTTAAAAAAAGATGGCACTTGAGCTTGTTCCTTGTACAACTTTACCAAGTCATGGTGCACAACCTGTGATGGTTGGCCAGTGCCAAAGATCTGCATAGCCCTTTCAAATGGATCAATGGTTCTCACTGAGAAACCAAGAAACAAGGATGACCCCTGGTCTTGTTTTGTTGATGCTGCTTTGCCCTGTTGGCAGCAGCCGTGATGGTGACATAAGCTCCTGAGATCCAGCAGACCTTTTGAAAGGCCCTGCCTCCTGTTTTTGAACTGTGAGCTCCTGTCCAGAGGAGTTTTGCTACATTCTTGCAGAAGCCACGGCTACTGAATGCAAAGATCATTGCCTCTCCCATTTGTTTGTGGAGACATTGGCAACTTCCATAGGCTCTGTTGATGGATTCATGGCCCCTCCTGGGGCTGTGGGAAATGCAACACCCAAAACCTTGGGTTGTGTAGGTTTTAATGCTGTCCATGCACCCTTGGCAATCTCTGGGGCATGGACAAGCAGGCTGTTGATCTCTGCTGCAAGTTTCATATGAGATGCAACCTCATCATCAGTAAATGGACCTTCTGGTAGCACCATGAGATGCGCAGCTGCATCAAGCATCAATGGAATGTAGAGTTTGAACCTTAAACCTGAACAAACCCTTGCCTCCAAGTTCAGCATACAGTCAATAACTCATTCAAGTAAGGATTTTATGTTCAGAATATCAAAATTTACAATGTTCTGCAATTGTTCCACATTTCTCACAGCAAAAACACTTGGTTTTACGTAACTCAAACCTCTATAACTCAAAATCTCCCTAACTCAAAAGCTTGCTAAGTAAAATATTTTTTGATTTTCCCTTGAAATTTCACTCAGAGAGGTTTGACTGTACTTGGCCAGCTACTCATCCACCTAATCCATGTGTCTTCAATACAAATAAGCATGGTCAAGGAAAACATTTCCCAATATTCCATATCATGCTTTCCCACCTGTTTACCTGCTCATGTTTACCTGCCATTATGCTGCTTGCTCTTAGTGAGTTGCTTTGAACAACAAGCTTTATTTTCTGCTTTTCAGGGTTCACAAGGTTCAAGCAATGGTCCCACATCCAAACCCCTTCCCCGTCACCCACATTCATCCAAACACATTCTTCAAGTCAGAATGGAAAACAGAGAAACAAGCTGTACACGCTGGATATTAAAAGATAAGAAAATACTGGTAATGTAAAAAAGAAACTATATCTGAAAAAAAAGTAAAAAAAATAATAAAGCACACCTTCCTTCATTTTTGCTGCCTGCGGGGGCGGGGGGAGGGGGGGCAGTCTTGAAGGACTCAGCATATGCCCCTGCTGTTGCTGCTGATGGGTACTCCTGAAGGATCAGCTGATGTGCCTCTTTTTTGTGCGCGGGCCGACAAAGAGGAGCCATCGGGTACACGCACCATAAGGCAAGAGGCAAGTCTCGTCATGAGCGTCGAAATCCAAGCCGGGGTTGCGGAAAATGGATGCGGAAAACCGCGTCTTCTCCAACGAGGAAAACCCGGCTGCTGCATGGCTGCATAAATACCCTGGGTCACTGGGTGTCTTCATCCATTCAATCGTTCATTCGACACACCACGGGCGCAGAAAAAAAAAATACATAAACGTGTGCTGCTGAGAATATAAGTAAAAACAAACAAGAAATTTATTAATATTATTTTCAAAGTGGTGCTGGAAACTGTTTCACTCGCTGTGTCTGACGAAACGGCCAAGTAAGAAATAGAAGAAGAGAGAAGAAAAAAGCTATGGAAAATTGGTTATTTGTCTGTGCAATTTTTCTGCTGAGGATTGGCGAGTTTTGTGACGCTTCATCCCGGATCCTGATGTTGGCTCCTGTGGCCACCTCGAGTCATCTCACTGTTTTTCGGTGAGAATTGTTTTGTTATACTCATATGAGAAATTCGTTTATACAACGTGTTGAAAAAAAAGAAAAAGACAATTGAAACATTAATTCCAATTAATATTAGCATATACTTTAGCATTATAAGCACTTTATTCCAGAAATATCGAGCCCACGAAATCTTTACTCCATTGAAGTTGATTTTCCCCTTGAGTTTTGCATTTTGACTCTGCTAACCAACTCCATTAACGTATTCTCTTGATTTTTTGGAAAGGTTTACGTCAGAAACTGCGCTGGGATAAATAGTCTCACTTTCCTGAAATTTACTAGATTTTATATTGTAAATATTTGGGAAAATGAAGGAAAATGAAATGCGTTAGAAAATGAGAGTACGCACAACCCTTCTCCCAGCTCAAAAATTCGAAAATGCTGAATGCTCTGATTGTTCCATCATAAAATATCTATAAAAAATTGAAAACTTTCAAAGAGTATTCCAGCATTTACAAGATTTCGTCCAAAAATGGTCCCATCTTTTTCAAGGATTTTTTCAGCGCTCCAATTTTTTGTAGATCGACTCATTTTCTTGCTCGAGAAGTGCAATTCAAAGATTCCTGAAATCACGGAGTCCACGCCCGAAAATTTCTTTTATAGCATACTTAATTTTTTATGAATCTAAAAACTGATTTCCCATCTATTTTGTATATACAATCATTCAGGGCTAACGTGAGCGTTTGTATTTAACCATATAAGCTTCGATAAATCAATATGCAACATATCAAGATAATAATTTCCGAATATAATTGCAGACTTGAAAAAAGCTCAATTTTCACTGGTTCACAGGCTAAAAACTAGTAATTGATTGCACTGTATCATCATATTTTCGTGTCATATTTTCATGATTCCGTGATCGAAATCTAGAAGTTATACAATGTAAAGAAAGTGAAGCGTTTTGCTTTAAAAAATACAGGTACAGTACTTGATAATTTCCAAAGAGAAAAAGAAAAAATTGCACGAGATTCTTGTGGCTGACCCGCCAAAATTCGAATGATTTCAAATTTTTCAGCACACTCGGACAAGGTTTGGCAAAACGTGGACACCACGTCAGAATTCTGCACACCCTCGAAACAACAACTTTGGAACAAGGCCTCTTTGGGCCTGGTACTGGCAAAACAAACACGAGCTCTGGCCAAGAATGGCTTTCAGACTCAATCAATGGAACCTACGTCGAAATCTCTCCATCCGGGATTGCGAATCTTTTCGGCAAATACTTCGACAATCCTTTCCAGTTCCAGCGAGAAGCGCGGAATGGCAAGGGGACGATGAGAATGAAAAAGATGTATGGCATTTTGCGAGACTCGTGCGCTGATGTTTACGGGGATCCAGATTTCCTCGACACAGTGATGCGCAAAAAATTTGACCTGGTTATTGTTCAGGGGATTTTAAACGACTGTGTCCTCGGGGCAGTGGATAAGATGGGCGTGCCTTTCATGTACCTCAGCCCTGGGCCACTGTTCCCATCTGTGCAAGTGAGTTCATTTTTCTTGTTGAGTTATTCGCACGCGGGGGAGAAAATTGGCGATTCTGTTTTTTTTTTTTTGGCGTTTTCATGCAAAAAAATCAGAATCAGTTCGTTATTCACATTACTAGTATGTAAAATTTTACTTATAATTGCTTGCTGCTGAAATTTTATCTAAATATTCTTCTTAGTCTATTCTTCATGATCACTTTTAATCTATAAAATGTTGACCTTCTCTAAAGCTATGGATTTTTCATTTGAGGAAGGTTTTCTTTAGGTTTTTTAAAGAGGTACACAGAGAGACTTATTCTTATTCCTGCTTGCAAAACCTGATTTATATCGGCATTCTTATTCTTAGCTTTTCAATTCAATAGGAGCTTTTCTCACATTTGAAGTACTGTATTTTACACTAGAAGAATGCCTCAGTGTCATGCCATCATATTTGTTTGGAAAGGGCTGTTTTTCGAAAAGCTTCATTTTGTCATCATCATTTTTAGTTAAATTGAAATAGACTCAACCGCCAGGATGTGAAGAAATCCTTCGATTTAAAAATTGTCAGCATTCCTCATGTAAATGTGAAGAAAAATTATCGCATTTACTTGATTGACTAAACTAATCTATTTTTCAGGATAGTAAAATAAAGAATAAAGCCATTCAAACTCTGCAACAGATTTGAAAAATACGCGATGGCAAAATTTGAAATGTTGGAAAATATAAGAAGAAATTCACAACATTACCATGAGCAAATTTTTCCGAAGAAATCAAGACTAGGAATTTGGGTGGGTGTTTTTCTGGCCTTTGAATTTTCTTAACAATTTAAAACATTTTACGTGGTCGTAGTCAATCCACATAAGTTGAAGTCAGTTATTGTAAAAAATGATAACCCTGATGTTGAAGTATTTTCATTTTATGAATGCTGATTCATCAAATGAAAGTTAAATTTACCTGGCTTACAGCTAGCTTTGAAAACGTACATCCGAATTTTACTGAAACTTCCAAGATGTTATCAAAAAGGAGGTTGAAATATAAAAATTTTCCTTGTCATTTGAGTACACGGTGAGTATAGTAGGTTGAAAAGTTGCACTGTCAAAATCTTGGATATTGAATAAATCCCCATTGAAACTCGGGTGCGTGTCTTTTGCGGGGATTTGTTCTTTTGCCAACGTTTTTTAGGTGTAAGAATTAAGGTTCTCAATATTAAAAAAAAAAAACCTGCGGTATTTAAATCAAAAATATTTGGGAAAACTCTTTCAGTGGTCCCTGGGTACGCCGTGGTCAGTGAGCTCAGCACCAGCTCCCTTTGTGCAGGGCTTCGGCGTGCCAAAAACGATGCTGAATCGCCTCAGGAACCTGATGGCCTCTGCTGCTGAAACATTCATGAGCAACAAACTCGGCGCTTGGGCCACGGAACCCGTCGTGAATTCCGCGTTCGGAGATTCGGCCCGAATGTTTGACCTGGCAGCGGTCAAACGAAACGTGTCCTTCGTGCTGGTCAACCAACTCGCGGCATTCGATTACACACGCCCTCAGGCCTCCAACTCGGCACTCGTAGGAGGCATGCATTGTCGACCAGCTGGCAACATTGAGGAAAAGGTCAGAACCTATTTTCCACGAGTAATTTCTACCATTATACACAGGTGTTATCATTGGAAATTATCAGTGTTTTCTGCTGATGAACCACATTGGAACTTAATGTCAAACCCTTTCCTGGCTTTGCCAATGAGACGACATGAATAAAAAAATACAAGAGGAAATGGTACTGATTAAATGTGACATAGTTAATCCTTTCAATAACACAGTTATAAAATCCAAGAATAATTTGAGAATAATTATAATCCGCGTAATATATTCTCACTGCTCTTCTGACCTGACGTTTGTCAGAAGGACCATGTCCTTCATACCTGGATTTGTACCCAGATCTATCCCATAATTAAGTACCTTCTCAAGTTACACCAATATAATATTCCTTGAGATTCCAAGTATATAGACCCCTGGCAGATTCTCCCCAAAGCAGACATTAGTATGGAATCCTTACGCAAGACTCCTGTGTTGGAAATTCCTGAGAATGATCTATTATCTGTCTTGTGTTGTGTGATTTTTTTACTTTGTACAGTACAACAAAGACTATTTCTAAAAGTTTGGAGAAGAGATAAAAGTCATTTCTCAGTTCACCTCCCTCAGAAGGAGACACACAAACTTTAAAGAAATCAACAAGGTTTTGATCCTTGTTAAGATAAGGATGACACATTATATAGAGCAGACAAAGAATACCAAAATATTCAAATCATTCAAAAAAAATTGTGCATTGAATTCAGATGAGTCTATTTAAAAATTTTGGGCAGCCATTTGAGTATACGTACAACTAATGATCAGGAGATGCACTTTGAAGATGTTTTGATTTCTGTGATCTATTATGCATTTTCTTAATAGTATTTAAAAATATTAATGTACATGCTCTTCTTCTGTCATGTCAAACTTATCCATCCCCAGCAAATAATTTGCTACACAAAGGGCTGGGTGTAACAGCAACACTTATGCCACGCATTTGTTATGCATAACTGTTATGCCCAGCTTCTTCTGCTATGCCTTCATTTTTTTTCTTTGGTGGTGTAATCCTGAAACATTCTTCTGCAATGCCAGATACTCAGATAATACCATGATACTCAACTGAGCAAAGATGATCACCTTTGCTCAGTTGAGTATCATATTTTACATACAGATTCCTACTGGGAAAGTCAAATGATGAGATTTATCCCACATATTATAAAAAAAGTAAACATCCAAATTTGTCATAAGAATTTCTGAAGGGAAACATGCCATTATAATTGGTAAGACTCGGCTGCATTCCCACTAAGAAACATAAAAATACAATCAATTTGTTTTTCTGAGGTTTCCATGAGACAAAGAAGTTTGTATTCAACGTGAGAAGAAACAACGCAATATACAAAAACATCAACAACAAAAAACCTCGAGAAGGCAGAATGAAACAAGTTCTTCAAATAAATGGAATTATTTTTCATTTTTCCCAGTTTCCAAACTAATTTCATCATTTCCCCAAAAGTTATACGTACAAGAAATGATGACATTCCTAATTCATCTATCCTCAATTTTCTTTCGATCGATTTAGCTCGAAATATTGCTTTTGCCTTCGAGAATTTTTTTTATTTTAGATCTGAACTATTAAAAAAATTCCTTAATATCCATTCAAGGGAATCATTTCAGTCGTTTTAAGAAAGGCCACAGTCTTCAGGTTTATAGGAGTTACGTCCAGCTTAGAAAACAGAAAAGGAAAATATTTCCAAACAAAGCGCTTCGTTGATAAGTTAAAAAAAAGCTGCATCTGACAAAATACCCTTTCTGCACAGAGAATTTTATATATCGCATGGGATTTGAGACAGTACATCGAAAATATTTCATTTTCATCAAATAATCCCTCTGCGAAGGACTAGACCACACGCATTCTTTGACATTGCTGACTGAAAAGTACTGAGAGTGTAAATACTGTACTCATTTTTGACACAGACTCACAAATTAAAACCTTGACTAAGGAGTTACATAATCGATCTCGATGCCCATTCTAGAGGCAAAATTTTGTTCGGAGCACCACCTAATTCATAAAACTTTTCAAGTAGAATAAACTTTGAAAAGCTGAAGCTAGATGTCGACCACTCACGGGTGCACGATATTATGTTCTTCAGGAATTGTTGACATTTTTGGACAATGCGGAAAATGGCGTGGCTTACTTCAGCCTCGGTTCCACTGCATTGAGCACTGACATGCCAAGGGAACTTCGTCAAGTTTTCATAAAAACATTTGCCAAGCTTCAAATGAAAGTTGTGTGGAAGTTGGAGACTAGTCGCATGACCCCAGAAGAAATCGCCACAATTCCACCAAATGTTTTCGTGTCTCCTTGGCTGCCACAGCAGGACCTTCTTGGTGAGTGCAGTGGAATACATTAAATTGTGTGCATAGTTCTCTGAAGAAATGGTCGTTCATTCAAAAGCATCATTTCGAAAATTTCTGCCATTTTTTCAGGACACAAGAATGTGAAGGTATTCTTGACTCACGGTGGGATTCTGAGCGTTCAAGAAGCAACGTATCACGGGGTTCCCATGATCGGAATCCCAATTGGATCTGATCAAGATATGAATTTGCAAAGAGCGACATCTGATGGAAGAGCGATTGTTCTCGACTTTGATACACTCACGCCCAAGGAAATCATTTCTGCTATTCGACGAGTCATCTCCGAAAAAAGGTAATCACTCCGTCAACAAATTCACACCGACAGCTTTACTTTTTTCAAAGCTCAATTTGAATTCAAACCTGAAAAAAAATTTTCAAAACACTCAAAAAACGGGAATTATTTTAAAAATATGATGGGCACTTCGTAGCCGAAAAAAACTTCCTGAGTCATTCATATAGAAATTTTTGACTCAACCAATTGAACCGATGTTGAATGTTGGACATTATTCTCTGAATAAAACATTCCTCGCATTTTTAAATGTTCTCTGAAATTTGTACGGGATATTCAACCAATTCCAGGTGCTAGTTCAGAATATAACTGGAGGTAATCATAGAATGTCCTGGTTTTTATTCAATTTTTCAGGCATTATACAGTAAATGCTAGTGTGAATTATTGATTCAAGCCTGCAAAGATACGTTATACAGCAACGAAAACATATAGTCTGAATTGATCTGGTTTCTATTTTTGGAAAAATTCATGTTTTCTTTGCATAATTTGGAACAAACTATTTATTTTTTCTGTTATTTTGAGACAGAGCTGCATGATCAAGAACTGTTTGATTGAGATCTTCTGCAAGTTCTTTCAATTAAAAAAAATAACTGCATAATTCGATATGGTGTTTATGAAATTGGTGATGTTATAAATTGAACATTGTTTTTTATGCATGCAGTTTCAGGGAGAATGCTGTTGCAGGATTGCATTTGATGCGAGACCAACCAATACATCCATTGAACCGTGCAATTTTCTGGACTGAATACGTAATCAGACACAACGGTGCAAAACATCTGCGCAACGAAGGAGCCTCATTACCCTGGATTCCATATCTCAACTTGGACTTGTACGCTATGATGTTGATAATGATTTTGGTCATTTCCTGGTGCTTTAGTAGAGTAGTTAGATGGGGTTTTAAGAAATTGAAAGTGGCTATGGCTCCCAAGCACTCGATTTCTTGAGCGGTGATTTCCGGATCTCAATTTTTGATATGATGAAAACAGAGATTTCGGATTGAAATTTCTGAAATAACTCTTCCTGTGAAAAGACTCTGTCACAAGTGTCAGAGAGTGGTCATGCTGATTGCTGTTTTTCTCATTGTCTGTGATTGGAATAAAATGAAGATTATATTCATACATGAGGGATTTGTTATGCTCGCATAACCCTGCTTATGCTTTTAATATTGATCATAACACTGTTATGTGTTACAGTCCTACTCTGCTTGAAATTAAGATTTGGATGTTTTGATTAGTGAGCAATCAAACCTGTTGAGATAACAATAATTACACATCATGTGGTTCAAAAATGTTTGGATTAGTTCTGGGTGAAAACTGTCATGGGTACATTGGATCCCAGACAAAGGAATTGAATTGTGCAGCCATCAGAATGCAAGTTTTGAATAAGAACTCAAACTCTTTTCAGAGGAGTTGATTCTCATTACCCAGTCCATCAATTGATGGCTGTTAATTCAATTTTATAATGAAACAGAGCCAATGGTTAGCTCAGAATATTGAATGAGGTAATTTAAAGTTAAAAGGCCCTTCAACACTAGGTTCTGATATCTTGACTTCTCAAAGAGGAATGAGGGTTTTTATACCCAGGTGCTTGGACTTGGTCAGGAAGAAATCAGGTGATTACTTCCTGGCTCAGGATTGGTTGATTCAGGCAAAATCACAGAAGTGAAAACCATTTCTTGTCCTTGAGTGAGGCCCAGTGAGTCTCGCTAAAACGGGATTTTTGCAAGGCTCACTGGCCTCCAGATCCAACAAGTTTTTGGGGCCTGGTTTCAACCGGATGCCTGAGCTGCGTGCTTTGGGCCACAACAAAAACGACACTGAGCCTGATTGCAAAAGATTTTTAGTCAGATGAGGAAGTTCAGCATTTATTGTATTTCTGAATCCAGCTGAAGAAAAACTGGTTCTTCTTTCCAGTTTGGAGGTCAAATATCAAAATTCACTTCATGAAATGTGAAGAGTATTACTATTACCCCATTGGCATACAGCTGTCAACCCCCATCTAATAGACTTTATTCATACAATGCACAAGTCTGTTGGATAAAAAGTCCCTTAGGCAAATTCAGTTACTGCATATAAAAAAATAGATAAATTAATTAATTAAATTAAAATTAAATTGTCAACACTAATTTTGAACCAACAGAACTCTGTTTGCCAGTTTTTGTCTGTTGGGCAGGAGGAAAAACTGTCTGCAGAGCTGGTTTGTTTGGCAAAAATACCAGCTTACACTGATGGAGGTCTGTTATTAGGCAGGGGTCCACTGTATTTTCAGATGTACTAGCAAGTTATGAGAAGCCTGCATTATTTGCCATAAAGATGTACTGTATGTTGCAAATTTCAATGGAGTAATACTTTTTTCTACACATTCTTATGTGAAACTTTCCTCATATGCATCTCACACACTTCCTCAAAACGAATGCTTAATCTCCAGTATTTATTCAATTTTTTTTCTTATGCCGTCTCCTTCCCAGCAGTGTTATGACGAAAAAATCTATTTAGGAGTTGTTTTTCTCAGCTTTCAGTGCTTTTTTTTCAGTCTGAACTTATTTTGTGAATGCAAATAGGAACTTCCAACCTGGAGAGAATGGCCAGATCCAACCATTTCTGCTTACTTGTGGTTCTATAGTGCATCCAAAATCGCATGGAAATCTATGAAATAAATGAAAATTCCCTTCAAGACATCGGCTTCTTTAAAATGTGTCATGCTATGGATGATTCAAAAATCGTATACCAATCAATGTTTTTAATATCAGTGTTGGCTGCTGGTTTCATATTCTTTGAAATGCCTCATTATGTTTCCCTTCATCACGTGGAGCCGAAATGGAGGAATGTTTCTGATGTGTGCAAAAGCGTTTTGAGCAAAGGACACTTGAATGAAGCATTGCTGTGGGATGGTGATGATTGCAAAATCCATCAGTATTCCGAGGAAGAAACCAGACACTGTTTGGCATAAGGAGAATTCAATGGTCTCGGGAATAGTTTCATTTTCTCTGGTGATTCTACTATGCGAAATAAGACAATGCGTTTTGCGGAAATCCTGGGATTGGATTTAGTAAAAGGTGATATGAACCAGAGATATACACACAAAACGTGGCAAGGAGATCATGGTACAATTATCCGTTACTACTGGAATACATTATATGAAAATTCATTCTTCACGAAAGTAAGTCCTTCATTGGAAGACTTAGACTGTAATTACCAAAGTTTTTACAAATATGTCCGCAGGAAATGTTGAAGAATGTCAACTTTTTCATTTTTGGAACATTTCTATGGGTGCTCTATTATGAAAAAAGATTGACGGAAGAGAAATGTACAAAAAATTCCAACGGGAAGCCAAATGGAAAATATAATTGTGCGAAGTATCTTCAAGAATTGAACAAAACAGCGCAATTACTGAATGATTCTGATGTAGAAAATGTACTTCTCATTCTACAAGAACCTGTGCATCCCAGATGGCTTCAAACCATAGAGGATTTTCAGAATCTACTGAATTTCAGTGTAAAAGTGGCACAGAAGTATCCAAGGATCATTTACTGGAGCAGCCCTCATAAATATGCAGCTCACTTATCAAAGCTTATTGGCAATGATTCAATGTGGCCAGACTATTACCACATACCAACTATTCATCAGGATGTAGGATTGGATACACTACTCAATTTCATGTGCAATGGAGTAAACAAGAATCTCAACAGCTCCTATTGTTGTCATGAAGAACATGTTTGAATGCTGTTCTTGCTTTTGTACATGCAGTAGCAAAGATTGGAACAGAGTCATTTTCAGACATTTTATTGTGTTCAATGGCATTTGAAGATACATATATATCTCCTGCAATTTGACCATACCACAGTGTTGTCTGTGACCTAGGTAAAGTAAAATATTCAAGTCCAATAAAATATATTCTTCAAATATATTCAGTTCACAAATATTTGTACAATCACACAAACATAAAAATAGAGAGCTTCTTTAAGAGAGTCTTGCTGAAACGTTCCGCAAGTCTCTCTGAGAAATAACCGCTAATGACTCTAGATTGATTCTGGAGAAATATGTGGGAAGGAAGGTATATTTATACCTTCCTGGAAACATAAAATATAGAGGCGGAATATTTGCCTAGATTGAGGAACTGCGGGTTCCCTGAACACTTGATGAAAATATATATCTGGGTAAATTTTATTAATATAAATAACATATATACACTTGCAAATTCAACGGAATAGGCTTCTTCTAAATTGGCAGTTTGGAAGAAAGCAGTGAAGGTTGTTTGTCACTCTTGACAAATAGCAAGTTGAAAAGGAGAAACGCACAATAACAACCGTCACGCATTAATGCAGGCTGATGTGAGAGAAGGGGAACCAAAACAAAATGGGAACAGCTGCAAGGAAAAGGATACCTTGTGGAGAAGGATCTCCTCCCATATAAGGAGAAAAGAAAATAATCGCAATTTGGTTTCTGGGTTACAAACTCACACTAGGCAAAAATAAAAACAGGTTCCATCGTTTTTCTAGGTTTTAAATCAGGGCTTTTTCTGAGGAAAGTTTGACAGGTGCCAACTTGGTGCAAAATTGTTGTTATTGTCAAACGTTTTGAAGTGCACAATTCTCACAAGTGCCAGTGTTTTCAAAAAACAACAAAGAGAAAAACCAATCATTCTCAAGGTCTTCTTTTACAATGGTTTCTCTGAGTCAACCCTTCTTCAGGACAGAAAATCAAACCTGAGGTCTTCAGTGCCAATTGACAGTTGGAGTTGTCAACAAAAATTTCCTGGTGAGCTGGTAACCTTACGGAATTTTTTTGTTTTAAGTTAAAAACTCTTCTCCATTTGTTTTGATTTGCTGTTTTGCAGGGTTCTTTTGTAAATTTTTGCAAGTATTTTAAAGAAAATCTTTTTGCGCATCATTCATATAGATAAACAATCAAAAAAATAATAAAATAAAATATTGCGTATACCCTGCAGTATTTTCAAGACGCAAAAAATATATACATATAAAATGAAGGTGAGCGTACAAACAATGAGTTGAAATGTTCAACTGATTATTTGTCTGTTTATTAGTCATTCCAGGTGATCCTTCTGCTTTCTCTTGCGGTGACGGGTACTTGGAGTACTTGTGTACTCAAGGGATATGGCATTGTCTGCAACAATATGTGCAGAGACAACGTCATCATGGCATTGGATCATGGTCATTGCATCATTTTTGATGGAAAAGACTTGTTTTTGGATTGTGTCCGTTTGCGGCTGTTAAAGGTGAGGTTGCTGCTCACAGGTGAAAAAGTTGTTTGTTGTTTTCACTTGTGTCCATGACCTCCTCAGGTGGTGCAGCTGCTGCAACCAGTGACATTTTTTGGATGTTGAGAGGGGCTGGAGAGCATCGTCATTTCATGGGCATACTGTCTTGACAATGTCAAGAGCTCAACTCCACCAAGTAAGTTGAAAAAAATGTTGGTCCAAGTTTTTCATTATCTTTTCACAGACCAGCCACAAAAATAGTTTAAGAAGAATTTGAAATTGATTTCTTTGTTCTGTCTTGTTTGTTTCTTTCTTAGCCACAAGCTCAACAATGACATCAGTCTCGCAAGTTTTGCAGGTGACAACTGTTGTCCATAGACCACCCAGGAAAACCTTTTAGAGTCCCCAGACGCATCCCGGACGGGTCCATTTGAACCTAGTTTGTATGCGTACCAGTCAGTGGCCAGTTTACCCCACTGCGGACAGTAAA